AATGCGTACGAGAATCCTCAACTATCACTCATCGGTGTACAAGACTACTATTTTTTTCGGTTTCGATCTGACCCATCGGATTTGACATAAAGTCCCTGTTGCGGGCCCATTGGGCCTGCCTCTGCACGTTGCCATTCATGTCAGTGTCGGACCCATCTAACTTTGTCTTCTTTTCGATGTTCTCTGTAAGGAAAACCACGTCCCCCTCTTCTGACGCTCTATGATCCAGCTACGTGGGACGATCTCGGCCGTCCTTTTAGTATTGTCTGAGTTGACGTGGACCATACACCAAAGGCCTGTCTTGTCTAGGTCAGTGCTCATCTACAGTTGTAATAAGTGCCAACTTTGGTAACATGTTTTGCTGACCGGTACTTCGAGTTCTTGCTAATTCAATATATAGGGCAGAGACCAAGAGTAGCGTTAATGTTTGGATATAAAATGTTTTCATTTTGTTTGGATTTTTTAATTTTGTTTGAATGATTTTGAAAAAATGTATATGCTTAGTTATTGAGATTTTAAGTCTATATTAAAATAATATTTAAAATAAAATAATTAATGTGATTGGATATAAAAGTAAGAGATAAATTATGTGAAGTGATGGTCAGTTAAAATTATGTGAATTGATGAATAATGAATTAAAGTCGATATAATATGTATGTAAGAGAAATATTGAGAATATGTTAGAGTTAAAATTGAGTTATATTTAAATTTTTTAAAACAAAATAATCGGTGAAATATGATTGGATTTTTTTTAAAAAAAAATATATTAAAGCATGCTTTATTAGTAGTAAATGATGAGGTCCAGAAAATGAAACTACAAATATTTGATGGCCCACTTCGGAAGGGTTACGAAGGGGAAACTATATTATGGTACAAAAGGAAAAGGAGATAAATTAGTTATAGTGAGTTGCATAGAAATTAGAATACATGATTCCTATTGATGCCACAATATTTAAAAACAATTATGTAGAGTTTTAAAAAGAATAATTAAATCATATATAGAAAAATATGTAATTAAGGTCAAAACTTATAGAATGATAAAAAAAAAAGGAAAAAGTGTACCGTTAGAAAACTAGAACTGACATGTACTGAACTTATGAACACAATTTGAACAAAAGCATAGTCTGCTACTAAATTGATAAAGCCATTAGAGATTTAAGCATGGTAGGCCCCATGACTTGATGATTTGGGCAAAGGCTATTCAGATCTTAGGCTGAGAGAAACCTAAAACTGTACCATTCCATTATGTGTTTAATAGAAGCCCAACTATGTACTTTCCTATGTGTTGAATAGACTGTATTCGGCTATTGCGGGCTGTATTCGGCTATTGCGGGCCACCCACTCCCATTGACAAAAATAAGTTTGTTTCTGGGCGGATTTTTATGTCTACCGTAAGATAGATGGTTTCTGTTGGGAGAATTTTATATATACACAGCGTTTTAAGAATAATTGCAACAATACCAAGGGTTGCATTTTAATTGCAAACTTACGCATGAAATTTATTTGTGATTATTCAAGATATCAGTTACCTAAAAAATAGATCAAGTCTTCTTAAATTGAGGGATTACAAATTGACCACGTACTCACCTTCCTACAATCACGGATCTTTAGAATTGTACTGAAAAAAGAAAAGGTAAGTGTATATAACATACAAATTAGGAACCTAGTCAACCATGTATATTTCTTTCAACGTTTTTTTTCGTTTTTTTTTTTTTTTTAATTTTTGCAATTTGTCTTAATTTATTTTGTATATTGTTTGTATATTTACAGTATATAAAACAAGTCGAAATCATACTCATGTACATATACTAAAAATATATTGTCGACCTTAACATATACTAAAAAACAGTATATTTTTCGAGAATATATACAGAAGATATACTCATTGTATACAATCGACATAATAGAAAATACACAACAGATAAATTAATCTTGTCATTACATACAAAATATATACAAAAGATATACAAAAAGCACATTAGACCGTAAAAATTCAAATTTCAGAAATTAATTCCTTCCTTCTACACACCCAATTCTCTATATCCCGTCATCCACAAGTGCAGCCGCCAGAGTCCATTGTCGTCTCTTTAAAAAACAACTGCAGGGGTCCATCGCATCTCCGGCTTCTAGCCTGCGCACGAACACTTCTTTTTTCTTTCTCTTTTTCTTTTTCTGTTTTTAGTTGCGATCTCTATTCCGACCCACTTCGGCCAATCCAACGACCGTCATAGCCACCACGACACGAACCCAGCGGCCCCCGGCTATCAGCCACCACCACAGACCACCACGTTCTCTTCTCTTCAGTTTATTATTCTCTTTTTCTTTTTGTTGTTTTGATCGCAGGCCCTCTAAGAGCCACCTTGTTCGTTTTCTCTGGCGTGTGAAGAAGAGATAGTAGCACGGGCCAGATGAGAAACACACGGGCAACGAAAACATATACTGAACATATACTTCCTATATACGAAACATATACTGTCGATTGTGTTTACAGAAATATATACTGAAAAATATACTGTATATATACGCAACATATCCCAAACATAATAAATCAAATGAAAAAGTTCTTAAAAAAACTGAGGACTGGGGAGAATGGCGGTTAGTAATTTTCAGGCTTTGTCTTTGATAACCGCAGCAACAAATCGAGTAGCCGAAATCAGAATCGGTTTGTTGCTGCGGTTATCTGGTGGAATTAGGGCTCAATTTTCCAATCGAGAGGCCATATGGAATGCGGCTGAACCCGCCGATCGCCGCCAGAACACGAAATACCATCAAATCAAAAACAGAATCCATAAAAATTCTAATACAAGATTATGAAAAGCAACAAAAAAACATGAAAGCAAACTACTTGGATCTCTGTCTCATCTTTAGGCACTTCCTCTTAAATCTCCTCATGCTCATCTTCTTCCACTATTGAAATATATATATATGCAGGGTATACAAATTGCAGCAAAAATCAATGGAATCAAAATTAATTTGTATGATATAGATGACACATGGGCTAGAGATGATTCACTTTCGCTCTTATGGTGAAAGATGAATTGCGACTTAACAGTGACGTCGCCGAGATCTGAAGAAAAAGAAAGGGGGAAGAAATCGGGGGAAGAAGAAAAAAATGAAAGTGAGAGGAGAGAGAAATAGATGTTAACTAGTAACTTCCGTAAAAGAATAAAAATGAGAGGAGAGAGAAATAGATGTTAACTAGTAACTTCCGTAGATTTGCAAATATTTAGGATAGGTTTTCTAATTTTGCTAATAAAATATTCTAGCAGTATATTTGCAAATATTTTGTGATGATCTCGTTGTAGGCGTAATTTTCTCGTTTCTGTTAGCTTTAGAAGACAGATGGGCTTTGAAGTTCAAATTTGATTTGATAAGATTTCTTAAAAAAATATAGAGTAAATTACAACCTGTACATAACATATCATTTTTATTTGCAAAATGACTACATGTATGACATTAATTGCAAAATTATCATATTTTAGAAAATATGATTAATTTAAAGATGAAATAAACTGATCAGCGTAATTAAAGGTAGATTTTCTCTCTCCTCCCTATCTCTTTTTCTCCTTCTTATTTTTTCCTCTCTCTGCTCTCGGTCCGCTTTTCAATAATTTCAGTAGCTAACCCATTCTCTATCGACTCAAACAGCTGCATCCCTTCCGCACGAGCAGACCCGACCCTTTTCAACAACGAGCAGTGGCTATTTTCCCGTCACCGAGAGCCCAAATAGCAGCACCTTCGATCAACCGACGGTCTTCTTCTGTGCGAAAGGATGTAGTGAACAACAACTATGTTTCAGTCGGGCTCCGAATGGGGTTCGAGCTCAGTTTGTTGTACAAGTTCAGGCTCTTCGGTAGCTTTTGTAGCGCGGGTTTTTCGTTTCCTGGCCATGGTAATTGGAAAAGGGAACGGTTTGCTTGTTAGGGTTTGAAGAGATCGGTAAATGAATCGAGCTAAAGATAATTTGGGGAGGATTATGAGACAGAGAAAAAAGGTCCTGACAGCGAATCAATCTTGTGTATATCTTCTATATATATTTTGTATATAAATCGAGTTGAAATTTGAATTTTGTGGTCTAATGTGTTTTTTGTATATGTTATGTATATATTTTGTATATAATGACAAGATTCATCTTCTGTATATCTGTTGTGTATTTTCTGTATGTCGTCTGTATATAATGAGTATATTTTTTGTATATAATCTTGATTTTATATGTATTTAGAAGATGACTTAGTTTGAGATTCAAATTCCTTATCTTTCTATTTTGTATTGAAACAATCTCCTAATTAATAGGATATATAAACTTACCATATCTTTTGCTTTTTTTAGTGCAAATCAGATATCCCCCATTCATGCGCAATTTAAGGAACACGTTTCATATGTTTTATCTTGTAACTGAAATTTGATTATTCACTAATAAATGTAATGCATTTGGTAAGAACGCAAATAAAATCTACACCTTGGTACAAATGCAAATATTTTAAAATCTTGTGGTAAACATAAAAATTCCCCAAAAATATATATCTCTCTAGTTAGACTAATTGTGGGAGTGACAAGTGTCCAATTTAGACACTCTCAATGGCTGACAAGTGTCCACAATTTATTACAGTTTTGCCATTGGATTCACTTTTTTTTTTTTTTTTCTTTCCAATGTTTGTTTTTTGCAAATTATGAAATTACAAACAATTACAATTTTTTTCCGACATACTTTTCTCTCTTATCCGGATTTTCTATTCAACAATATCAGTAACGTCCCATCCGAAATTTTTTGGTCACTTCCGCACGCTACTTCACCATACAACATTCACACACCAAAAAAAAGTACAGAGGAAGATAAGAAGGCGACCATAAAATTACCCAACTACACAATCTCTCCCACACGCAAATAAGTCACAATTTAGAATTTCTCTCATTTTCTTAACAATCTCGTGGTGGATACAACCATATCGGCGGGGTGGATACACGGATCGGCCGGAGAAAATAGGTTAAAGGCAATTGAGATGGTTAAAGCAACGGTCGAGGACGGTGTGTGGGCAGGACCAGTCTCATCTGGCCTTATCGGGCAGCGAGGATCCCCAATTTGTGGGATGCAATCAGTTGTGTCGGTGTCACTTACAACGGTGGCGGCAGCGTCATTGGTGTGGACTCACGCACCAGCACCTGTGAGGTTTGAAATTTTTTCATTTATTTTCTTAATTCTATGTTGGGTTTCTTGTATTGCGAGCTTTGAAGCAGACTCAATGAGAACCTTCTCTTTGATTATAAATTGCCGAAGGCTGTAGAGAGTAGGACGGGGCGGTTTCATTATTTACCACGTGAGTTTTGCTGTTTTTATTTATTTATTTATTTTTTTGCTATGAACGCGATCACATTTGGAATAGAACTGATTTTCTTGTTCCAAGTAGGATGATTTGGTGAATTCCACGAAGGAGGCAGCATCGAAGGAGCTTTTGAATGTCAGCCGTGACAATAATAACTACTGGAGCCTGTTGAAGGATCTCATGATTCAGGTTTTGAAAACTTAGTCCCGATAGATTATTATGTCTGCAATTTACACGTAAAATTTCAAAGCATATGCAAATAGTTTTCCAACAAAAATTTAATTTAGCAAAAAATATTTTGATTAGACATGATGATCCTTTGACCATTTCCTCTCAGCTAATAATTCTTTGCTATTGCAGCATATACAAAAGCAATTCTTGTTTGCTATGTAATATTTAACTTTTGATAAGTTTCTCTAAATTTGTGGACTTGTGGCATTAGTGGAAGCCAAGTAAACAACGTGTAGTGAATGTCTTTGATCTGGAGTTCTATTCAATTGAATAATCTTAGTTTTTTTTATGCATAGTGATTCATTTTCTAGATGCTAAAAACAGTTATATATCTCCTGCTTGAAAGTAAATGTATTGAAAACAATGAATGTGACAATCTTGTGAGGCCAGATAATGGTTTTGTGAATTGGAATGACCTGCTGGTTCGACTTGAACGGGTCAGCTTATCAGTTTGGTTTACATCTATCAACCTCATGTCACAAGAAGTGCTCAGGAAGTGGTCCAAATCGGTGTGAAGCCAGTGCATAAAGGATTTTAACACACCTAGCTTCCATCCATCAATGATCTCCATCTGTGTTGCTGATTCTTTTGAGAGGAAGACATGGAGAGAAATTTATTGACAAAGCTTCTGATCAACCTTACGAAACCTCAAAGTAAAATATCATTATTGTTATATTCATTACTAATTGGTCTGTATTTTTTGATGATTTCCTCCTTGTGAGAATTATATTCCTTCAATATAGGTTGTGTGCCCTACAGTGTTGCAATTTAGGCATTAAGTTCTAGGTTCTAATTTAGACTTAATTTGTACTTGTTGATCATTGGTATGTTTTCGTACTAGCTTCTCTTGCATTGCTGGATAATCAGAGTTTTAGATTTAAAATTCTTTGTAGTAATTGACGTGAAGAAGCTCAGGCAGACGAAGCCCCAACTTTCATCTACGCCTAAGCATGTTTATAATGTGAGGGCTAAGCTCAGTCGGGAATATTACGGGTATGAATTTCTTATACTTCTTTTGTAAAATTCGGGTATGTAATTGAAATTAGGGTTCAGTTAGTGACGGTGGAAAGGGACAAGAATTTTTTGGAAGCTGTCGCTAATGGGATGAGGGAAAAGGGGGACACGACACATGATCAGTGCAAGGGTAAATGGAAAGATCTTGTGAACAGATACAAGGTATATTGTATATTTTCTGCATATGTGTTGCTGAAAAATTGATGCTTGAATGTGATGATCTTATTTAGTTGCTGGTTTTGTCGTTCTTTACTTGGTGATTCAGTTTGAGTTTATCTTAGTTTTGAAAAGGAAAATGTAGGGTTTTGTTTCAATGTGTTCTATAAGTTGAGCTCTTGATCATGGGTATTTTGTTGGCAACACTTTCTGAGCGGTAATTAGTAGTTTGAAAGATGGTAGAGTTTATTGTAGATAAGCCAATGTTCACGGGTTGTGTGTGTGTTATTATTTTTTTTTTCGGGTGGTTCTCACATATGTTAATTGTGGATTAGTAAAATTAGATTTTCAGAGATTTTCCAATAAAAAAACACACTTACTCGATTAGATGAATCTGAAATTCACTTGGCAGAATTTGGTAAGCCGAACTTTGTTTCTCAAGGTTTAATTTTCTACCTAATGGGCTTTGAAGTCACGGGTTGGCGGTGGAGGAGAAGATGGGGAAGCTGAGGATGACAAGGGTGGTGGAGCATGAGATCATGGACGTGCTGAGAGTGAAGGCAAAGAGAGGGACGGAGATTGTGGTGGCGAACATGAAGAATCCGGCGGCCAAGTTGACGCCCAACAAAGTTGAAAATCCAAAACCATGAAATGTATTATCCAAGATGAATTGTGCTCCAGGATTGTGGATTTTGAAAACATATATATATTTTTTTTTTGTGATAAATAAAGTGAAAATTTTGACGATTTGGGAAGAAAATTGTTGAGGAGAAATATAAGTTTCAGAATATCTATATATATATATATATATATAATAAGAATTACTATTTACCAAAATTAGTAAGCAAAAAAATCTGGCAACATTAATTGCATACCATTTCGGACAAGTTTTGTTTTTATCAATCACGGATAGTTAGTTTTGATAACCAAATTGCTCAACTTTGGTACAAATAATGCTTTTAAAAATTTGAGTTTTATTTCAATACCAATCCTTTTTAAAATTAATTGATATTAACATTCATTATTTGGGCAAAAAAACTTGCAAGTTCTTAACCCATAATAATTGCGTAAAATTCATCAAAATCAATGATAACACATAATTAATTGTCAGATTTGTGTAGCCGAGATGAGTTTTAATAGAAAAAAATCATTTGGATGCCAAAAAATTTTGTGAAAAAACATGATTTTGCCGATAAAAAAATAACAAATTTACCGACACACACTCAAATTCTAAGAGTTCTTTTGACTAATCGTAAACACCCAAAAAATCCAAACATAAAAGTACAAAAATCGAACATAAAAACCTTAAAATTAAAAACTCCACATTTCTTTTTCGGGCAAAACAACTAAAATTAACAAAATCTACCGGCGCACACTCAGATTCGAAGGATTCTTTTGATTAATTGAAAAAACAAAAAAATTCAAACATAAAACTACAAAAATTGAAAATGAAAACCCTCAAATTGAACAATCCATATTTTGTTTCGTGCAAAACACGTAAAACTAATTTAAAGCATCGATTAAATGAAAACTAAAAAAGAATATGTATTTATAAGATCCTCAGTGTTAGAACGGAAAGCTGGAAGAAGATCGATGAAAAAAGACGAATAAAGAAACTGGAAGCAGCGAAAAATGAAGGAAGAAATGAAGCCCTTGGTCCGATAATTTCACTATTTATACTATGTTCAGTGTAATCTAAACCGTCGATCTGCGTTGACTAATCTGGATCATTGGATTATTTTTTTTTTTGGGCCAATATGAACTTTCGAAGCCAACATTGTAAATTGGACCGATATGAACTTTTTGAAACTCACATTTTTCAAAAACATTCCTATTGTACAAGCCCAACATAATTAATATAAATAATTACACGTATCTTATAATAAGTATTTATTAGATTTAATTATAATCAATGATCGGTGCTTTATTATATAATTTAAATTTAAATACAAAATTACCTTTTAAAAAGGACGGAAATAATAAAGCCCCGTGCATCGCACGGGTACTGTACTAGTAATTAATAAAATGGATAAGGCAAATTTTTTCTGCGGAATAGATTGAATTGCGGAGAGAATATTACTTTACATTTAGATGCTACTTTGTATCTTCAAATGGAGTTGTTGAGAAAGGATGATACTTATCATATGTTTTACAGCTCGTGTATATTGTTGATGTTTTGTACTCTTGTCTTTTTTTTTTTCTTTTTTTATTTTGGGTCTTATTACTTATATCTTTTCGTTTATATAAAAGAAAAATTGATTGGTATTATAGAACTTTATTACAATCTAAATATACGAGTTATGCACTCTTCATAATATTTTTAACACGAACTAATTTAGTACGTTTATTGTTTGATATATATTTGGTTGCTTTATTAGTTGATGATTATAAGTGGGTTGTCATTTAACAAATTACTTGTTTTAAACAACAAATTTAATTTTTCTGTTGTTAGTAGGTTTCGCGATCATATTGGATATTCGGGCCATTGCGAAAAGTACTAAGGATGGAAAGTACTATTAGATTTCGTAAAGTACAACTCTTAATAGAAAAGAAAAAAAAAACGGATTAGAAAAATGCATTATGAAACAAGACATCGAGAAAACACACATTGAAAATACTAGGAATAAAAGAAAAGGATCAGGAAATTACATTTTGAAACAAGAAATCGAGAAAATACACATTAAAAAGACCGTTACTGGAAAAATTTCTTTGCTAAATTTAATGGTGTGGTGTTCAAAGGGATGACAAAATTTATGTTATCGTTGAATAGGTTGATGAGTCTTGAAGGTGATGTCAGCAAGAAAGGATCTTGAGAAACCATGATTTGTCCATGTAAGTTGAATTCCAACAATTCATGTTTTTCTTTTCATAAATATGTACATAAATTGTATAGAATAGACATTTTTCAGAGATAAAAAGAGAGAGTAGTGATTTTGGCAGCATTCTTACTTCATGCTATTTCATTCGTTCAAGCTGTATGTGTTATATAGTAAAGTGTTTTGTGACCCGGGACCCAGTCGACCCGGAGCCGGAACCGGTCCGGGTGGAGTATTTGGACCGGGCAACCAAGGACCCGGTCAAACCCGGTCAAAACCCGGCCGACCCGGGACATTGACCCGGTCCATATATATTTTTATATTTTTTTTATTTTTTTTTTGTTTTTTAAAAATAAAACTATGTATATATATTTATATGGTAAATATTTATCATGAGATACATATTATTAACACTTTAATATACAAATTTTATAAACAAAACATTTAATTTTGTTACTTTTATGTATATTTATATAACAAAAATACTCTATATATAATTTTAAAAATTTTAAAATTAATTATTCAGTTCAGCAATTGACCCAGTGACCCGACGGTTGAACCGGTGACCCAATGACCCGAGGACCTGCCCGAGTCGATCACCGGGCCGGGTTTAAAAACTATGATATAGTATACTATGTTTGTTGCTCTTGGTTTTGGACATGAAACCTGACAAAATTTTGTTGGAGTGCATAAAATTTATCTACATGTCGGAACACGACGCTAGGGACAATTTTTATTCGACTGCTCATTACAAGTGATGACAAATTTTTAATATGTTTTTAGACTAAATTTGAGTCCGTCGTGCGTGCACGGTGTGAGACAACTAGTATATATATATATAGGGATCTTTGTTTTATTTGAGAAAATTAGTGGTTTTATTGTCACACGACTTGAAGGATGATGTGGAAAAATTGGTGTATCACGCAAGTCTTATTAGTGCCACGTAAGAGCTCAACTTGGTCGAAAAATAATTTAGAGACAAATAACACATAATAAATGTTTGATATTTATTTAAAAAGGTATAAAAAACTTGAGTTTTATTTGCAATTATATAAAAGATTAGATTTTTATAGGCAATTACGCCTATTTTATATTGTCATCACCGTCATCCTTCAAAAGCAAATGAATTTTGGGAAGAACTCCAGGCGAGTAGCAATGGAGGCACCAAGCAGCAGCGTGAAAGCTAGGACCGCCGCCGAACTACAGATCGTGAAGCGAAAATCGGGCAAGACTTATGGTCAGATAGCCGAGGAGACCGGCTTGACCAATGTCTTCGTGGCTCAGCTCCTCCGGCGCCAAGCTCAGCTCAAGCTGGGGACGGCACCTCTGCTCCGGGCCGCCTTGCCCGCCCTGACCGATGAGCTTATTAACGAGATGATGCAGCCGCCACTACGTTCGTATGACCCGAACTTGATCCAAGACCCCGCTGTTTACAGGTTATTTTCGTATAACTTATTACCTGGAGATGTTTAAGTGGTTTTGTATTTCGCTATTCTTTTTCAAGTAAAAAAAATCAAGACAGATGCGTAGAAGTTAGCGCGAGCAATCGGAGAAAAATAGGGAAGAACTACTTTTGCAAGATTGTTGAGCTTTATTTAGTTGAATTAAGTTCTGTCGAGGTGATTAGGGTTCAAATTGTGTTCTTTGACGGGTTCATGGAATATAAAGGTAAACATTCGAGTAAATCAGGCCATCTATTAACAAAAAGAACAACTGTATTTGATTGAAAAAAAGAAGAAGAGAAATTCTAATAGTTTAGAACCTTTTCATACATGTAAACATGTAATATGCTATAATGGAGTGACATGAGCATCTGATATAGAATTTGATTGTGTAATTCCATAAAGTTCGTGCACTTGGGAAATATACCAAAATAATTAATCATTAGAAAAAGATGTGGAATCGTTCTAAATTAAAGGACAAATTGAGTTATATAGTGAAATGAATGTTTATTCAATCTTAGAATTTGCAACTTCCTGGTTTCCTTGTTTGCAGACTGAACGAAGCAGTTATGCATTTTGGGGAGAGCATTAAAGAAATTATAAATGAAGAATTTGGCGATGGCATGTAAGTTGTTACTACCAACAGTTGAAAGCATGAATGCTAAATTGGAGGATGTTTACTTCTATTACATTCGTGATGTTATTACCTCTTCAATGTCAGGAGTAATTCAGACTATGGTCAAGGCCTTGTAGAAACGAAATTGGCATTTCTATTTTCTATTTACGTTTGTGGATATTTTTATCTTTCTTTTCAGGAGAGGTCGTGTATGTTGTTGTCATTCAGAGTGTGATTACTATCTCCAACTTACAATACTAAAATTTTTTTATTTAACCGTGCTTTTCTTCTTTTCTGCCGGTGAGCTAATAAATAGAATGTCTGCAATCGACTTCTATTGCTCAGTGGATAAAGTGAAAGGCATTGATGGGAAGGATCGTGTTGTTGTCACATTTGATGGAAAGTATTTGCCATACACTGAGCAGGTCAGTGTAGTAGATTTTGGTAGACGCTAACTAGTCAGTCATTAGATTGAAAAATGTTCAGAAGTATTTGCCGTACTCTGAGAAGGTTGGTCTAATACACGATCGACACAACTAACGAGTCCTTATATTGGGAAAAAAAATGATCTAGTCAGGATGAAAATAGGATATTCAAATGAGCCAATTGACATTTCGTTGTGAGTTGTGACTGATTTCATCCCAATTAAATCAATATAATTATTTGATATTCTTTAGAAAACATTATTTGACTGACTAATCGATAAGATATCAAGAGCCCTCATAACACATTACTTGTGCGCCTTGATCTCTTCTTTATATTATAAGATTTTTTTTCGTGGGTAGCTCAAGGTGCTATGAGAACATAATTACTATTTACTTTAAACTTGCACTAGAAGAAGCCACTCATGAATACATCTGTCCAAATTCTGGCTTTGAGTAAAATGCTGCTAGTTCAGATGATTGCATTGTTGAATAGGCTTAAAAGTAATGCATAGCCGGTATTTTAGTGTATTACCTTTTAACAATCATTTGTTATGTTAATTATAAAATTATGGTGTTTTTGGTTACCTATTGTGCTTATGCAGACAACTGAGCATATGATGTCAAGATTAAGCAAGCAAGATGACAAGGATGGCAAACCAGAATGAACTTAATTCCCTGTTTTTATGCATTTCCTGGTCTTTGTCAATAGTTCCCTAAAATAAGATATATTGTACTCCAAATAACCTGATGTTTGCTTCTTTGATGGAATAAGGAGGTGATGTCAATTTGTAAACATGTGCTGTAGTTTATATACAGACGTGATGGTTAATGTGCCACTTGACTTATACTTCTTTTTCGCAAGTAATAAATTTTGATTTTGTTTTCTGGATGGATTTCACTTAATTGTGCCTGGAATATCTTATCAGATATCTGTGTGTTTACAAGCTGTTCAAAAATGCGTGGAACTCTTTTTCCTTTTGTGTTCTTAAAAATCTTAAAGCTCATGTAATAAGCTGTTGAGAAAATGTATGTTAGTTATTTTAGTAATGTGAGAAAGTCTAGCATGCTTCCAAAACAAAAGATTTCACTTTAAGTTGATTTGAGTGTCAATTGAAATTGTTTGCGTTTTATCATGAGTCCATCTTAAGGGCATCCGCATTTGTTAATTTCTTTTTCATTCATTCAATCAAAAAAGTATACTATCTCTCTTACACATTATTTTCACATCACCTTTCCACTAATTCTCTTTCCATTTAAAGACACACCTACATCCCTACACATTCATTTAAATACAAAAAAATAATAAAAAAAAATAAAAGAGGCTAAAAAATAGCCGTTGAACAAAAAAAGGCAGCTGGACAAAAAGTACCAAATAAAAATAAAAAATGATGAAAGAGCCATTAAGCTTCTTGAATGATACCCTTAGGCCCACAAATTAATTAATGTGTGCATTGGTTTAATGGGGTGCAATGCATTTAAATGGTCCAAAATAATGCACCAATGCAGGTGCTCTAACAAAGCTTATAATCCAAGAAATGTTGTCTGTAAGTTTTGTTGAAACTTGTATAATGTGTCTCCCTCCTCCCTGTTCTGGACTGCAATTGGCCACGAAATTTTCCAGTCGTTGAAGAGAACACACGGAACTTGATGCTGGTAGGTTTTTCATATAAAAATTGTAGTGTACAGACAACGAGGGCAAATTTTCTAATGAGAATTGGAATTTCCTGCGCTATTGAAGAAAGGGTTAAATGAAAGGTAAGCTACTTCACAAGAGAATTTTCTTTTTCTTTTCTGATCTGCAGTTGCACCTCGAATCGGCTCTCCACAATCTCTTGACCGATTCGCTCCCCAGAGACCTGCAAAGACATCAGGAGATGTTCTAGGCGTTAAATCTTCGACGATCAAGTAAGTAACGTGATATGAAAAGTTGTATGAAAATATACTGAAAGCTTAGAGTGTATAGTGTGATTAGCCCTTACCTTCTCCAAATTTTATATTTATAGTTGTATGGAAATATACTGAAAGCTTGGAGTGTATAAAGTGTGATTAAACCTTACCTTCTAAAAATTTTACCTATTTATAGAATATTATTGGCTTCCTAAACAAGCCTCTACTTTGCCCGACTGCCCGAAGGCCTGCCCGATTGCCCCAACTGCCCAAAATAGCTGCCCATCGATTATTAGGCTACCATAGATCTGCCAGCCAGTTACTTGGTTCTACTTTCGTCCATCCGATTATCTATCTCTTTTATTTGTAATTCTACAAGTGTCCCTTGTCAACAACCGGGACTCGACCTACTATGTTGGTTGATCCACTTCCTGTTCGGTCTAATTACCATGTTATCATGTCTGAGCTATCACATGTCTGAGCTCCTTAACCGTCGAGCTATAGATATGCTCAAGTTGTTCGAGCTCTTTAACCGCCGAGCTATAGATATGCATAAGTTGTTCGAGCTCCTTAACCGCGGAGCTATAGATATGCCTGAGTTGTCTAAGTTGTTAGTGTGTATACTAAAAGTTTAGCTTTAGATGTTATTCACACTATTTATGTTGAATGAGTATTCATGTTTGATTAAGTAAAGTTCTATGTTATATTGCTTTGCATTTAGATAAATGCTTCATCACAGATGGACAGAAGATCGTTTATCGGTTACTTACTAAACATAAAAAAAATTAGTTCACAATCTAGATGGAAATTGAACAAGCCATCGGAACAGTTGTAGTGCGGACAGTACAGTCAGTCTTGACTGATTAGTCACACTAGTACACATTGATGTATTGAATGGATCACAAAGAGGAGCAGTTCGTTTTATTCTGATCGGCGTAAACGAACTAGGCCTCGGCTAATTACTGCACCTCTTAACCCGTAAAATATAAACAAGCACATGTATGTAGAAGTCATGGCTTTTATTCAGCAAAATGAGGTTTATTGTTATAGACCAATAACTGTCTGTTTTGGGTAGTGATTCTCACATGACGTGGTGTTATGTTACAATATTTACGGTCACCGTGTACTTCACAAAGTTGTGGTTTGATGATGTCCCAAAGTGAGTTCAGAAAGTTTATTATGTTAAACTCTGCAAGTGGATTAAATTATGACATAATAATGCATTGAACGGTGCTAGTTTCTGTTCAAGAAGTCGATTAATTTAATTATCAGTAATTAAATAAATTTATTGACATTATATCTTAAACATGGAGAGGTAATTTGAGTAATTTAGAAGTGGAGCTCAAATAGTAATTTGGGAATTAAATTGGGATAATTCAATAATACTACTTTAGTGAACGACTGTATTATTCGTACTTGGGCTAAATAGGACTGCTCATAGTTAGGCCCAAATAGAACAAGCTCAATTTAATTCCTCCTTAGGGTCTCTATTGAAACCTATAAATACACATTTTTCTCTAGTCTTCTAAGACATACAATACATAGAGATATCTAGATTCTCCTTCCCACCAAGCGAGTTCTAGAGGTGTTAGATAATTCAATAGAAGGTCTTAAGGTAGTCGATCACCGACCATTGTCGGCCACCCGGCAACCCCGCGACACGACCTGAGTCCACCAGCGATGACCCGTTGCTGACCCGCAAGCGCCCCTGCCAGCGACCCACTACCAGTGACGTTGTGTAGACCCACGACGCCAGCGACCCACTCGACGCCCAGCCGACCCGCGACCTCCTTCCCGGTGCCCAATTGCGACTCGTTGCTCCCGATCGCACCCACGCGACCAGCGAAGCTTCGACGAGTTCAAGTCTAGCTGTCCAACAGACTCTGAGGTTCAAACTATCTCCAACAACAGAAATCTACAACGTCTCAGAGTCGGCAAATTTTTAAACTGTAAGTCTTCTACTTTAACCTATAGATCTGTTGCACATAGGTTAATTCGCAGATAAATTTTAACTTGCACATTAGCGGCGATCCTTATAGATCCCAACATAACTCCTTTATGCCGAACTAGAGACACACCTAATATGTCTAAGCTCTTTTATTGCCGAGCTAGAGTCATGCCCTAGATATCCGAGGTATATGAGCCTTCATATTCCTGAACCAACCAACCTAGCTAGTCTTCAACCTACAAACTGAGCTAATCGTGGTTGGTTCAACATAGTTATCTATATGTGCTATATCATCTAGTCTTCTCATTATCAAACGAGCTATTGTTCTCCGAGCTCAATAGGCTTGTTAATAATAATAACAAAAACTTTTACAGGCCTGTTCGCACGACGAATTATTCCAGACTTAGATTCATAGAAGCGTGTCTCGTACGTTACACTTGTCCTTTTGACTGTCCCATCTGTCATTCCCCTCGTATTCTGTACCTAGGGTTTGCATCTGAGCCCTTAGATCTTGTTCCGACCCAACGGTAGATTACGTACCTCATCTATTATAAATAATATCTTCTTCCTCAGATTTTACTTTCACTACTCTCGCATCCTTAAACTCTCTCTAAGCAAGAAATTTCTGCAGTTTTTGTCGACGCATCTGCCATTCTCCAGCATTCGTCCTTCTCATCTCCAGTGGTTTTGTCTCAGTTTTCGACTACCCCAATAACATATATGTTATTAAACCCTTATTATTTTTCTATGTCTTTGTTGTTGTTCTTATATATATATATATATATATATATATATATTCTTTTTCTTTTGCTTTCTTCGTTTTTCTCATTTATTCCCTCCCCCCTCCCTCTTTTTTAGCTACACCATCTAGCTCTCCTATCCCTGTAGTGTTCTCCTCGCCTTTCGACCAATCCTTGTTTGAACTGAGCTCCTCCACGTCCGATCAATCTTTAGTTATCATTATCCCTGCCCCTATTAGAGCTGAACCAATAAAGTCCACCTTAAACCTCATCGACGAGCGTGTCGTGGACAGACCTTGGGACACCTGAACACAAATAAGAGATACTCACCCGTTCGACCTACCCTAAGGGCTTCCTGAAGTTGTACCCCTTCTAGCTCCGAGCTAAGGGCTCGTCAAGCTCGCATAACCGTACACGCCAATCCACCTGCTAACCCTAACATTAGTCAAGCTTTTAAGCCGTGGTTTTGACCCAAGCTAATCCATTTTTCTTTGCCTAAGAACCCGAAATAAAGGTTCACGAGGATGTGCGAGCTTTCTTCCGGTTGAGTCTTCCAAGCTCCCTATTTGGGTAGCTCGCACGTTCGATCTCTGCCCAAATTTTATACTTTCTTTGTCGACTAGGTTCTTAGTGGTCTCCGATTTTCAATTCGACCCGACCTGCTCACCCTTACCGAGCTGTTTCACATGTCTATTAACCAGCCCAGTCATAACTCCATTTGTATATTGGTAGCTTTCACTATTCTTAGCCACTATAAACTCTAAGATTTAGATACTCGATTTTTATTTTATTGTTACGCCCTTAAGAAACAAATAGGCTCGTTCTGCCTTAGTGCTCGTAACCAAACTGAGTTCATTAAGAACCTATCTACCAAGGTTACACATTGGAAAAACTAATTTTTATTCATGAAGCCCCTCGTAGGTATTTTTGATTTCAGCTCGGAGTGGCTCGAGGAGGGCCCGAGACCAAATTTAAAGCCAACCCCTTTTGATGACCTAATCGTCGAGTTGAATAAAGTTCCCAACCACTAAGAGAATCTATATATATATAATTACTAGCTCAAAACATTTAATAAAACCTATTTAATTTTACCTATGTGGCAATTTAATAATTTTCCCTCCAAAAACCGTTACATTTTGATGTATTTAATCTTTCATTTAATCATTAAATAATTAATACTCATCACTTCAAAATTACAAAAATCAATATAAATTTTTTATTAATGACAGTTGACCATATAATGTGTTGACCATATAATGTGATTAGATGTTATTATTGTTGTTACATTTAATTTTTTTCTTAAAAATAAAAAATATATTTGAAATTCCTAAATAAATTATAAATAATTCACAAATAAAAGACGTAC